TCTTTCCCTCTACTTCACCCTGCATTATGTTGTTGGCAAGGGTGTCCAGCCTTCGCATGATGTGTCCAAACCATTGCAGTTTCTTTTATCTCACAACCTTGATCAACAGTTCATAGGTTACAATTTCTTGACTGATATGTGAGAGAAAGATGCATAAAATAAGGCACTTTTGTCAGATCCCCTGACCAATATTTTGATATTTCCAAAAACTATTCCAGTTTAAATCTCATGCACACTTTCTGTGGATTTGTGAGACTTGTTAGGGTCAGACTTGGTCTATCATTTCATTGCATTCAATTGTATTATTTTATTAATAGTAAAACATTAATACTCATGACCATCTGTTTCTTTTCAGGTTTTTTGAATGATTCAGTTAGTAAATGCATTGTGGCTTTACGCTTAACTGTCGTAGTAAAAGTGAGCACCTGTATGTCAGCGGAAAGCCACTCAGATGACATTCAGTGTTCGGGGAAAGGAAAATGTATCACAAGACCATCTGAGGTAAGGTGAAACATTACTAAAATCTTCATGCACAGATTAGATTTTAAATTGGGTAATACATATAAACAAGTCAAAAGTTTAGAATGCAGTATTTATATGAGCATGCGCATGTATGCATGCATACCTGCTATTGTTTCCATAGATGTCATTGAATAATAACATTGTACTATTCTGTTACACCATTTGCAAAACTAAAGACATAAGAGGAAGGGAAAGACTAGTTCATAGATTCATAGAAGTTAGGGGCTGGAAAGGACCTCATGAGATCATCAGTTCCAGCCCCCTTGCTCTTAGGCAGGAAAGAAAAGACTGCTGGGGTCAGAGGACCCCAGCAAGGTGTGCATCCAGTCATCTTTTGAAGATCTCCAGGGTAGGTGACTGTGCCACCTCTGGGGACTAGTTAAAAGCACGAAGAATCATTCACTGACCACATAATAAAAAAATTATTATTATCCAGTCCAGAGTATATTTCATTACACTATAATAATGAACTTTCACCCTAAAGGAATACTCTTTCATTAATAATCTCTCTCTCTCTCTCTCTCTCTCTCTCTCTCTCTCTCTCTCTCTCATATATATATATATATATATATATATACTCAGAAGAGTAAAACTGATATATATTCAACTTGTCATGACAACACTATAAATGAGATAAGTTCTTAAAATTTCACACAGGAGAGAGAGTGGGGGCACACAGCCTGACCTGAGAGCATAGAGGAAAGGGAAAAGGAGAGGTTGCATTGGAGCAAGCTGAGATACTCAAAGACTGTGATTAATGGGGGAGCAGTTGACAGTTGGGAGTCCAAATCTTTAAGTAACCCTGCAGCTCTGTTGGATTCCATGTGTGCTGTCTGTACATTTTACAGGGGTACAGGTTGTATCCGTGTTGGCCTAAGGACATAGGCAGGCAAGGTTCTTTTGGTAAATCTGATATCTTTTATTAGATAGTTGGAAAAATTTTTCTTTGCCAGCTTTTGGGTACAAATACCCTTCTTCAGGCTGAGGAAGCATTTGCAGTTTGTCTGTGCTCTTCCTGGATGGAATGAATAGTAACGAAGCCAGAGGCTGGTATGCATGCAAGAAAACCAGTCAGTGAAGATGTAAACATTGAGGAACCAGTGGGTAAGAGACAGGGGAGTGTGGGGGAAGGTAGAGAAGAGGAATGAATGTAGCTGGTAAATAGTGGAGAGGTACCTGGGGAGTCCCAGCAGGTTAAGCAGGTTATAATGTGTCATAAATCCAATATCTATATTTAGACCATAATTTTTTGTATCTGGTAGGTTGATGAAGTGAAGTTCATAGGTTCATCTGTGAAAGATGTTTTGTAAATTCCCTTTGAGGGTTAGAACTGAGATTTTGGAGAGAGTGTGGTTTTCTTGTGAGAAATGTGCCCCCACAGGTAATTGGGTATTTTTGTCTTTGATGGATTTCCGGTGTGTGCTCGTTCTGGTACACAATTGTTTTTGGTCTCTCCTCCATATTTTCCATCAGGGCATTTGGTGCTTTGGATGGCATATATTACATGTCTGGAAGTGCAGCTGTAAGATCCAGGAATGCTGGTGGTTCTGTTATGGGGTATAGTAATTGTGGGTGTGGTGGAGATATGTTGTTAGGTTTTACATTTCTCATCATGGCATGATCTGGATCCATTCGGTGTGTTTTGGGCTGTAGGAAGTTTGCTTCTGGTGATGAGGTTTGCAAGGTTTGGTGCTTGTTTGAAGGCTAGGATGGGTGGTTCTGGAAAGATCTCTTTAATAACAATTAGGTCTTTTTTTAGTATGCGTTGCAATTGTTTGAGGATTTTCTGTATAGTTTCAAGGGAGGAGTAATATATCATAACCAGTGGTGTGTGATTCATGGGCGTTTTCCTTATGTACTGCAGCAATTCTTCACATGGTATCCAGGTGGCTCTTTCAAAAGTGCGATCTACCTCTCTGGAGGAGTGTCCTTGTTGAGTGAAAGCCAAAAGCAAGAATCGTGATATGTACCCAAAAGCTTGCAAAGAAGAATTTTTCCAACTACAGGTAGTCCTCGGACTTACGACACAATTGGTTTCTGAAAACCACATCTTAAGTCGAAACATTGTAACTCAGAACCGATTTTTCTCATAGGAAACAATGTTAAAAATGGGGGATTGGTTCCTGAACCAAGGTCCGATACCCTATTTCCATAAAAAATAACCTAGAATTTTGTATTCAATTACAGAGTACAGAGATGAGTAATATAGCTACATTAATGTATTTATATTGTAAATAGCAATCATATTGATTTGGAAGAACTTCTTTGAGGTGACTTTGCTGGACTTTTTAAAGGGTTCTTGGCTGGAGTCTGCTCAGGAGTCTTGGCTGTAGGTTTTTCTGGAGTTTTGTCTGCTTTCTTAAAGAAAATGTCCAAGGAAGTTTGGACAGATGTTCTCCAGAGACATGTGTGATGCAGCGAACTTGTTCACTGGCATGGCATTGCATCACATCAGATTAAGCATTATAAAGTTGAAACTGACGTCAGAAAGTTGAAACAGGGTGTCAATTTATAAATGTAAGTGCGAAACATTGTAAGTGGAGGCAATACTGCCTGTATTTGAGTTGGTCTAATAAAATAGACCAGATTTACTGAAAGAACCTTGTCTGTACATCTTTACTTTTATAGTTTTATATAGTCTAACTCCTTTCTCACTCTGTGCTTGTATGTTATTCAGAAATTATTGAATAGTGCCACTGATTCCTCTGAGCATAATCTTGGGAAGAAACAATGCAGAACAATTTTACAAAGTCTCGAATTTTTCCTTCCTGTATCTGAGTATTGCTCTTGTTGAAGTTATCAGTGCAGTGTTCTTTCTTTTTTAATAATATTATCTTAAAGAACTATAATAACGATAATAGGAATTTCAGTGATCACTGTGGATGGTTTTTGTGGTCAAATAATTGTTCCAGACAAAATACCTTATAAATATAGGAATATTCCTGTTAGATAACACCCTTTTAGTCTGTTTTCTGTATAACACTGAAAAATTAGTTGGGGATTCTGTGACTTAGGCCATATCTTCTCTATTAGCTTACATGGAAGAATTGTGTTGAATATATGCAGTTTTTATTGCAAAAATAATAATAAAAAGCATAGAACACAAATGTGCACATTTAATCTTGGCTTTATTAAGATTTACTTGGGAGATAAACGTAGTAGTTGCTGTTGAGCAAATATTAACAGCTGTGAGCCTGCTGTGAGCACAAAAAAGTTGGCATGGTTAGGACATTCAGTAATAGCTCAGCTGTTACAATTTACTAATTTAAATTCTAAATTAAGCCCACTAAATTGACAGGAAATGAAAATTTGAATAGTAACAGTAATAATTGAACTGCTACAAAAATATGTCTACCCATGACAGTACTAATGCCTGGAAAAATGCAACAGCTGCTTCAGTCCTGAAAATGAATTTCTAAAATGCTTGAGGTAATGTTTATATAAAATTATTATAATTTTACAGGACACTTAGAAATAAATAAAATACAGATGTTTGTCTCATCATTTCATAACAGTAGTTAAACTGAAAATAACTTGTACGTGTCTCTGTATGAACTAGCATGTTCACTAAAAAAAAAAGGGGGAAAAATCAGGTATTTCTTCCTTTCAACTATTTTCTGCCTATTTCATCTGTTTGGATAACATGCTAATATCTTACTGTATTCTGTGCTTTGTTAATGGAGACATGTATTACACTGAGGGCCCCTCTACACATTACAGGTATTGCACAATTAAATGGTTAATTGAGCAATTACCTGCAGACCAGGTACACGTGCAAAGTAGCTATCATACAATAAAAAGCTCCAACCAGCTATAAATTTAGACCTAAAAAATGTGTACTACTTTTATACCTGGTTGTTACTGAGCTTTAATTTGCACATGTAGCAGGGTCTTACTTGCTGCTGAGAGCCCTGTCAGCTGATGGGGCTCTCAGCTGCAGGGCTATATCATGCCCAGTGAAACCCCCACAAACCTTCGGGATCCCTAGGGCTCAGGGGTGCATGAAACCCCCAGACCCTGGGGATTATGGTAGCCATGATCCCTAGGGCTCCAGGGTGTGGGAAGCCCCTAGGGCCTGGGTATTGCTATAGGGGCGATCCTCCATCCTGGGGATGCGGAGAAACCCCTAGGGCTGGAGGATCACCCTGGTGGGAGGATCACCTGTGCGGTTATTCTCTGGCCCCAGGGGTTTCCCCACATCCCTGGGATGGGGAGATCACCACAGTGGGGATCTGTCAGCCATGGGGGTGCAAGGGTGCCCCCATGGCTGGTAGTCCTTTAACTGGGTTGTGTGGGGCTTCCAGCCATGGGAGCCTGCTTCTTGCTATTACGGGGGAAGCCTGTGTGGCATGGCAGGAGGCATGATGGTGTGAATCATGCATTAGATCCTATTCTACCTTTACCTGCACATGTAGAGGGGGCGTAATGATGTACTGAGCCTTGTAGACCTTTAAGACCTTGTAGACATTTAATATGTGAAATAAGAAGCTCTAGCAGACGTAAAAATTACCCTTAAATAGGTTAGCATGTTTAGTGGAATGACTATTAAAAAAGGGAGCTGATTGGTAACACCTGTGAAGTAAAGAACATGGATCATTAATGAGCCATTGACTCCCTTAGCTGCCTGAATAGTAATACCAGAGCTGCACCATACTGCCCCATCCTTGTCTCTACCTGACTTGAGGCAGAGTGGGGGGAGAAATGGGGGGCAGTGTCTGAAATGTCACATAGTCCCGGATCTCACATTGTCCTATATGGTCACCCTACTATACTCCATTTCCAGAGGCATAACACTACAGCCAGGCATGTGTGGCAGCTGCCACACATGGTGGCAGCAGCAGTTGGGTTTTTTTCCACCTGTCCCTCTCTTCTTCCTGCCCCCGCCTCCCCCCCAAGTCAGTGCCCAGGGCAGTTATCCCATCCTATTGCCCTTTTTGATCCTGAGACAACCAAAGTATTAAATAGTCTCGATGAGATCA